CATGCTAACTCCACACAGACAGTTGTCTGAGGCTGGAATTGAGCTCAGGTCCTTGGTACTGAGCCAGTAGTGCTAACCACTGCGCCACCTTTCCGCCCCTGTTATGGTGATTAAAGGAACCATAATGGGACTGTCCAAAAGCTTTACTTAGGAATTTTGATGTTGACTTTGAGTTATGGAAGAAGTTCAACCACGATCATTACACTGGACGTAACCACGTTACAAACAGTACAGCTTCCTTTGAAAGTAAGTGTTTGTCAGAGACACAGAAAATGCAAGGAGAGAAGGTCCCAGTTGAGCAACTCAACATCTATCGTATCCTGTCATGGTTGTAGTGGAACCTTCCGGGCGCAGATCAGCCTTAGCAGTTATGTACACACCCACTGAAACCGTACTAAACACCCCAGATGATTAATATCGTAACCTTCAGTTTGAGGGACAGAGAGACATCCAAAGTGCCTTTACAGGTGTATTATAAAACAGATTTTGACACTGATCCACATAAGATGTTATCAGGGTGGATGACCAAAATTCTCAATCAAAGAGGTATGCTCTGAGAAGCGTCTTGAAGGAAGGAAAGATGGACATTTAGAGATGAGGTTCCAGTGTTTAGGGCCCTGACAGTTGAAGGCTGTGGAGAACAAATTAAAATCAGAGTTTTCAAAAGGCCACAATTAGATGAGCACAGATGTTTTGGAGCTGTAAGAGATGACTAAAAAATAGGGAAGGATTTGAAAACAAGCATGAGAATTTTAAAATCAAGACATGTTTGCCTGGGAGCCAATGTAAATCAGAGAACACAGGAGTGATGGGTGAGTAGAACTTGGTGTGAGTGAAGACAGTGTTAGGTTGTTGCAGTGTGAATTCAGTTTCCCTCATGTGTGCTCTGCGCTGCTGTCATGCAAGCTCATCTTATCTTGGAAGGCCACAATGTTTTCATGCCAACTGAGTTTGCTGCTACACAAACTTCAAACTTGTTACCATTGCAGCTACGGAAATAATTATAAAGGTGTTTGCAGCATGCCACAACAGTTCAATAATCTATTCTCCAACTTGTTATGATTGATGCACTGCTTGTGGGAATGACAGTGACTGTGGAGGATTAACCTAATGTCTTCTCTCCTTAGATAAGCTTTATCTCCCATTACTGCCCATCCACCAGTGCCATTGCTATTGCCTGCCATCTGTAGTACAGACTGATTTTGCCCATGCTGAGATGGTGCAGTTCAAAGCTGAGATTTCTAGGGTCAGGGCTGCATCAGATGATCCTGCAAGGCCATCTGCTGTCTCTCACACTGAAAGCCAGAAATCTTCAGGTCCATCTATTTTGCAACCATAACGGCGGCACTGCATAAGGTAACTACAGAAAGAAACATACAAATTGGGAAACAAGAATGATTATTTCATGTTTGTAAGCATAGTTTGACTTAATATGTTTGATTTGAAGTGTTTTTCTGCTGGCTTTTATTATTATTGTGGCAAAAGAATGCCCTGATACAGAGGGAAGGTAAGATGTAGTCTGTTGTTGAATGAGAAATTGGAGTTAAGTATTGGAGTGAATGAGTCAATCACAGACAGCCTGGTCAAAAAGGAGCTGTGTTGGCTGCCACCACCTTTACCTCTATTTCTCCTCCTCACAAGGACTGGACCCTCATGGTAGCAAGTTTGTTACTTGTTATTTGAGCTCTTGATACCTGCTTTTCCTGGTACTGCAGGGCTCCTCCACAGCAATCCAAATGCCTGGTGTACTGTCTGAGCATTTCCGTGATAGGTTTTGCTGTGTCACATTGTGAGTGGCAGCATGGCTTTAATATATGTGCATGCATTTTGCCAACCTGTGCATAAATTTGCACACTGGAGTCATGAGCCATATCCCAAAGGAAAGCTGTGTCCATCAAAACCATTCTCTTGATTGTTGTTGTAGTTCAAAAGCAGATGTCATAGCAGTCTGTCGAATGAAAGAAGCATGATAGCTGCCAAGATATTGAACACTGAGCTGCACAATATGATACGTATCAGCTGCATGTTGAAGGAGTCCCTTCCTATCCACATGGCTTTTGAATGTATGCATATATACATGCATGCTGCCAATGTATATATGGGTTTCACATTGCGATCATGAGTCAAATAATAGCCTAGATTCACTAGTGACCTCAAAGTTGACATATGGCGTCTCCAAAACAAGATGCTTGCAGTCAGTGGCACTGTACTATGTAGAAGCCTGCAATTCTTGTAAAGCCACAGCTTACTTTACCACCTTATTTCTGGCAAGTAAGAATGAAACATATTCAGCCTTTTTAGGCTACGATCCTTTGTGACATATCTTGTACAATTTAGAATAACAACTGGGAGATGTTGGACTTGTCACCTAATGAAGCCTGGAAGGAGTCAGATGCATAAACCATTATAGCCATTATCATCATCACAGCAACTAGCAATGCTGTTCTCAGCCTGCTTTATGGTTGCAGCAGATGATGTATTTCTGTGAGGTCCCCTCAAGCAGAGATGTTTAATACAATATTTTTTTGCTGAGATTCCAGGAGGAGAATTGCTCCTTGGAAATCTTGGATGGATATGGTCTCATGCTGAGAGTCAACTTTGTTTCTTCTTGTAGCTCTTCTGCCTTTTCTTCTTCCAGCTCCTCTTTCTCTTTCAATTGTTCTTCATTTTTTCCTTCCAGCTCTTCTTCCTCTTTTAGCTCTTCCTCCTCCTAGCAGCTTGTCCTACTTTGTGCCATCCCTGCTTATTTGCCCTGTAGTACAGGGGAAGTATATTCCATTACACTCATGTCTGGAAGCAGGTAATGTTTATATAATCTTTGAAATCAGGACAAATCCTTCAATTCATACTCCATGACTCCTCCCTGTAGACAAGGAATTTTAAAAATCTTTTGGAAACACCAAATATTTCTACAATAATACATCAGCCAATGAGCTGCCGAACACATTTTTTTAAGCATTGGCATTAACTTTCACAGGTCCAGAATTGCAGTTCTGGTTTCAAGTCATGACCTGGTTATTCTGTATACTTTTGGTGAATGCCATCTGTACTCGCACTTTGTTCTCAGCATAATGGAGGGCAACATGGCTTGCATTTCAAAGAGTGCACATTCTGATTTTGTAACATCCTCTGCTCAGAAGCAAGATGCTGGAAGCCAGGTACATCAACTTGGAGACAAAATAACATTTGCAGAGCTAATGGGTGCTAAAAAGTGGAATTCTTAGAAAGAACACCTGAATTATGTTGTAAACTTAACTTGATGTAGTTGTATTTCCTCTACCCTTTTCTCTCTTGCCAGTTAATTTACAATGTCAAGCGAGTGCAAATATGAATATCTTGTCAGGCAATAGCTGAAGTATTCTGTCTTACAATAGTAACTACAATTCAAACATACTTCATTGGCTGTAAACTGCTTTTGGACATCCTGAAGTTGTGAAAGATGTTCAGGAAAATGAGCTTTTCATTTTTAAAAAAATCTCCTTTGCATATTTTGGATAGGATTCCAAGGGATAAGAGAAAACTTACTAGAGAATGATTGTTACCAGTGGATGGATGAATGACAGACTAGGTAAGGACTGGAGTAGAGTTTTCTCCTTAGAGTCGAGAAGGTTAAGGGGAGATTCGATTGAAGTACTAAAAATCTGAAGGTTTTGATAGAGAATTTTTTAAAAATTGTTTCCATTCGCTGAAGGGCTAGTCATCAGTGGACCCATATTTCAGATGATTAGGAAAGGAACCAGAAGAGACGTAAGGAAACCTTTCTTTTCTTATAGAACATCTGGAATTGACTGACTGTTAGGGTGATGGAGGCAGATTGAATAATTTTCTGAAGGGAATTACATAAATACTTGATGTAGAAATAACAACAGGGCTACAAGAAAGAGCAAAAGCATGGGACTAACCGAATAGTTTGCTTAGAGCCAGCATAGACACTATGGACCAAATGGGCCCATTATGTGCTTTTTTTAAAATGATTGTGTAATGTTTTACTGCATCTAATGTGAGAGTTCTCAGCCTTTTTTGCATCCGAAGCACCACACCTCCAGCCCTTTCTCATGTTAAAAAAATTACAAACGCCTCTAACACATAGTAACACTCTACGTTTGGCCTCTAAAGCATCTCAGTTTTAATTACTGTACCATTGACAACTATTCTTTCAGCTCCCTAGGCTCTAAGATCTGGAACTCTCATCTTTAAATCTCTTTGCCTGACTATTTTTTTCTTTCTTTAAGATGTACATTATTATCTACCTCTTTGACCAAGACTTTGGACATCTCCTCTAATGTTGTCTTACATTGTTGAGTGCTATAATTTGTTCTTGATACCTTTGTGAAGTGCCTAGGAAGTTTTGTTAAGTTAGCCATCTGCTGGACAAAGCAAAGAATTATTAGATCCTGCTGTCCTCTGCTATAATTTCTCTTTTCCACTATAAACTATCTTAATAAATCTCTTTTGCCTTACCTCTTCTGTCATCAACCCTAACTAATAAAGGACTTCTTTGTCACCAAGATTGACACCATAAGCTCAGCTGCCTCAGGCACTTCCCTCCATTCGCCTAATTTGCCAAACAAATTTTCTATTGATTCTCCCTTGTTAACCTGTATTCTCAGTAAACTAGTGATCACCTAACTTCCTTTCCTGGACCACAGTTGATATTTTTTATGATACCCTGATTTGAACGACCGACCCCTACACATTGTATCCTGTGTGACAGCTAATCTGCCTTAATATCACCATTGAGAAATATTATTTGATATTGCTCTTGTGAAATGCCATTGGACATTCTACTACATTAAAGCTACTATATAAATACAATTATTATTGAGAAAGTAATTAGGATGGAAAAACTGCTAAAGTCTTCTTCGTGAACCCTCATGTAAATTTCATATTTAATGATATGTTGATCGTCGATGCCTCTAATGTCCTTATAGTCATTCATCATGTTGAAAGCATCCCTTATTTGTTTTTGTATGTAATGCATTCAACCTTTGTCCTTACAGCTTACAGTGCAGGTCATTCCAGGAATTTGATGGACCCATACCTAATCCAGAGTCATATGACTTCCCATTACAATAGAATCCTCTCTGCCAAAGGTAACATGTATTGTACTGTGTTGTATGTCTGTATGGCTGTTAAGAATTTCAATTCCTCAGAATTCCTATAATATAATTACTCTCTTAGCTAATTTTGCAGGTATTTAGCACACTGGAGAATATAGTTTGTGCAAAATGAACTAGGTAATTTTCTCATTGTTGTGAGAAATGGGCAATACACTCACAATTGTTGTTTTGGTCTCCTTGCAATGAAGTAGGGATTCAAAGGGTGATTAACAGTTTGATAGGCCACAACATGCAAAATGGCCAAACCATGGCTTACAAGGGAAGTTAAAGGTAGTGTTAGATGCAAAAAAAGAGGCAGACAAATCGGCAAGAAAAATACAATAGACCTGAGGATTGGGAAAATTGTACAAGTCAGCAAAGAAGGATCAAGGGATTGATAAAGAAGGGGAAAATAAGGTTTGATAGTTAGCTTGTGGGGAACGTAAGAACTGACTGTAAATGTTTCTGTAGGTATATAAAGAGAAAAATATTAGTGAAAACTAATGTAGATTCCTTACAGTCAGAAACAGGAATAGGGAACAAAGCAATGGCTGATGAACTTGAATTCTGACTTCACTTCAGTCTTCACAAATGAGGACATAAATAATGTACCAGAAATGATGAGAAACAGAGAGTGTAGTGAGAGAGAGGAACTGAAGCAAATCTGTATTAACAGTGAAGTGGTTTTGAAGAAATTAATTGGTTGATAAATCCCCAGAGCCTGATAATCTACATCCCATAATACTTAAGGAAGTGACCCTAGAAGTAGTGAATGCATTGGTGGTCATCTTCCAAGATTCTTTAGACTTTAGAACAGTTCCTACAGAATGGAGGGTAGCTAATGTAATCCCACCATTTAAAAAGGTAGATAGAGAAAAAACATGGAATTATAGACCAGTGAGTCTGGTGTTGATAGAAGGTACTAGAATCCATTATCAAGGATTTTATAGCAGACGCTTAGGATACAGTGGTAGAATTAGTCACAGTTAGCATGGATTTACAAAAGGGAAATTATGCTTGAATAATCTATCGGAATTCTTCAAGGATGCAACAAATAGAGTTGATCATGAGGAACCAATGGATGTGGTTTATTTGAACTTTCAGAAGGCTTTCAACAAAGTCCCGCATAAGAGAGTAATGTGTATAGTTAAAGTGCATGGGATTGTAGTAGTGTATTGAGATGGATAGAAAATTGGTTAGCAGACAGGAAACAAAGAATAGAAATAAATGGGTCTTTTTCTGAATGGCAGGCAGTGAGTAGTGGGGTACTGCAGGGATTGGTACTAGGATTTCAGCTACTCACAATATATCTTAATTAATTAAATGAAGGAGCTAAATGCAATGTCTCAAAATTTGCAGGAGACACAAAGCTGGTTGGAAGGCTGAACTGTGAGGAGGATGCAGAGATGTTGCAGTGTGATTGGTTGGGCTCAGTGAGTGGGCAAATGCATGGCAGATGCAGTATAATGTGGATAAACATGAGGTTATCCATTTTGATAGCACAAATAAGATGGTGGATTATTATTTGAATGGCTGTTTAAGTTTAAATTGAGAGAGGGTTATGTTTCACAAGACCTGGGTGTCCTCGTGCAGCAGGCAGTAAAGGAATGCTATATGTTGGCCTTTGTAGCAAGAGGATTTGAGTACAGGAGCAGGGATATCTTGCTGCAATTATACTGGACATTGGTGAGGCCACTCCTGGAATTTTCTCTGCACTTTGGTTTCTGTATCTGAGAAAGAATGTTTTTGCTATATAGGCAGTGCAGCGAAGGTTGAGCAATTTGATTCCTGGGATGACAGGATTGAAGTTCGAGAAGTTGAGTCAGTTAAGATTGTATTCACTGGAGTTTAGAAGAATGAGAGAGGAATCTCATAGAAACCTATAAAATTCTAATAGGACTGGACAGTTAGATGTAGGAAGGATGTTCCCGGTGGTGGGGAAGCCCAGAGCCAGGGGTTATAGTTTAAGGATATGGATTAAACCTTTTAGGACTGAGGTGAGGAGAAAATTATTCAACCAGAGAATAGTGAACCTGTGGAATTCGCTATCACGGAAAGTGGTTGATGCTGAAAACTTATGTGTTTTCAAGAGGGAGGTAAATATAGCTGTTGTGGCTTAGGGGATCAAGGGATATGAGGGGAGGTGGGATTAGGGTTTTCAGCTTGTTGATCAGCTGCCATCATATTGAATGGTGGACCAGGTTCAAGGGGTCAAATAGCCTACACCTGCACCTTTCTTCTGTATTTTTATGAATATTTCATCCATGCGTAATTATCTTTATGTTAGCCAATAGGATGGTTAGTTATACAGTCGAAGGTTTATTGACTCTCAAATTCATGCAGTAGAAATGCACCCATCCACACCTATTGGAGAAATTGTCTCAGCTGACTCCAACCCAGAATTCAGATTTGGAGACCTGCTTTCCATAGACGTCTTTACGTGTACCTTCTCACTCAGAGGCAAAAATGCAGTCTCAAAGCTGAAAGTTATAATCTAGATTAATTGTTATGACAGGAGAATTTTTTCCAACCATCCTGTCAATTACATTTGGAAGGAGGTTTTATTGGCAATTAAGTGAGTCCAAATTATGTCCTAAAGTCCTGCTGGTATGAGCGAATACTTGCAAGCACGCATTTTTTTATGGCAGATGACGTGCTTGAACTCCTATCTGGTAGGAAAACTGAAATATAAAGAGAAAATGATAGAAATCAGTGAATAAATAAACAAAGTTAATGTTGTTACACGCCAGAATGTCAAGTGAAGGATAGAACTGGAGCCTAACCTTTACATGTTTTTCTGAGCATTTATTCACAGAGACAAACGGGATAACCAGCCACCTCTTCACCCAACAGCTACAGTTTCAGTCCGTTCCTATTTATAGTTACACAAATGAACCACCTGTTAATGTTGTCCATCTTTATGCAATTAAACATAATTAATACATGTTGCATTTTGATAACTTTTCTGTGGACTGGTAATGCTTAGAGATGCAGGTTCTGAAATTATTCAATCTAGGAAGGTATGAAGTACTTAATCAAGAGATAAAGTGATGCCCCTTGAGCTTCTGCTGAGCTTTGTTGAAACGATATACAAGAACAGCAGAACTTCTTTAAAGAGGACATTCCCAGAAAGGAAGTGACAGTGAATTAAAAGAAACAAAAACATAAATTGCTGGAGGAACTCAGCAGATCTGGCAGCATCTGTGAAAAACACTAATTAAACACGAATTCAAAGTAAATATTGTTGATACTGGAAATATGAAATAAAAAAAACAAGAATGTTGGAAATACTCAGCAAATCAGACATCTCTGCTGTAGAAACATGCAAGCAGATGAATGCATGTGGGATAAAAGAACCTGCCACATGGATTAAATAAGGAGGCTTATGTAATTAAAACCTAAATGGCAACATACAATAGTTGTGCAAATGGCCTTTTTTGGTAGTTCTATATAATTCTAAGATGTTGCTACTGAAAGTGTATTCAATCTCTTTTAAAAGTTAATTGTACTACTTATCCTTTCAGCTACAGTGGATTGTTCTGTTCCAAAAAGCATGCTGTTAAGCGTAAAATGTAAGTAATTCATTTGTTGTAAGGAAAGTCAGGAAAGCATGTAACATAGGATCTATGGTAACTAGAAATGTTTGAATATTTTAAGGAAAATAGCGATGTTAGGCTACTTTTTTCTAGGAATTGGAATATGCAGAAGTTAAGCTGTTGCAGTTTATGGCAACAAATTAAACAAGATTGTGTTGAAACTTGATTTTGGTTATAATGCAAACTAAATGGTAGTGAACCATCTGCCCACTATATGCATCAGATATTCAGTTATATTGCAATTAATAGAATTAATTTAAGAAAATACATGTAAAGGTGTTGAGCCAATACAATACTGTTTATTTGCACCACTGCCCAAGACCAATTTCTATCCCTGGATCACTTGCTCTGACAAAATTACCTGCTCAGCAATGCTTAAATTTCTTCTGAAATTGTTGTCAAATTCACTTGTGTAGGAATTGCCTTTTGTGCATGCCATCAAATATAGACCTTGAATTTCAAAAGAAATCAGAATATCCAATAAATCCTGTTTATTTTGGCTGCACATACTAATTCTGTTTACTAGTGCAAATATGATGCCATACCAACACTGCCACAGTGACAGCTAAGACCAATAAATGAAAGTGGTCTCTCTATGAGATGAAAAAGCCAGGTTGAAGCATAATTTGGCAGACTTAGTGCTTCATATTTTATTCTAAATTCACATCTTGAAGCAAACATGAAAATATAGTAAAGCATTAATCTAATTTTAAATTGCTTCTTTTGTTCTTAAGACAAAGACCAACTGAAGAAGCACAATCTACAAACTAAATACAAAAAAGGAGTCATCCCTACAAGATCAGAATCTTGGTCTAGCTCTGGTAGCAGTGGAAGGTTAACTGTAACAGAATCTATCCAGGTATGTTTACTTTTGATAAATGTGAACATATCTTCAGAGTTATAACATTTTACTTACAGTTCATTAGACATCACTATAGAACTTAAAGTCTTTAGTCAATTACTGACACATCTTGAGCTCACCAAAATCTGTTTGCATTATATAATTAGAAGTTAGAAGACAGATTTTGTAAAATTAAAAATAGCCTGTGGTGCTGTTGTCCAAAATCTTCATCCCACCATACCTCTTCAATCTCTGCAAGTTCGGCAATTCTGACATTTCAGAGGCTTCCTTGTTGAAGTTGGCATCATCGGAACAAATGCGACGGAAACGGAGGAACTGGGAGAATGCACCTGGGGACCCTGCAGCCTTCTGGACTCAATATCAAGTTCAATAACTTTAGGGCCTAAGCTCTCCCATGTCCTTACCTCAACCCCCACAACCAGGCCTTGATATCACATAGTCCACTATTACACGCCATCCATTGTTAGCCACTAACAGTCCCGATTATTAGTTATTCACCCTCCTAGCCAGATCACTATCTACTTTTTTGTCTGCCTAACTGCTCTTCTCTCTCTTTGGGCTCTATCTCCACCTATCATTTCCTCCTTACTCCCTCCCCCCCCACCCTAGCTTCTGCATATAAATCAACATTTTCCATGGACTATCGTACTTGAAGAAACCACTTCATCAACACATTCTCAAAGGTAGTTCAGAATTGGCAACAAATACAGGACGTGCTGGCAAGTGCCTGCGCCTGAGGACAAATTTTTTTAACATCCTGCAGAAATTTCCTGCTTTTGATCATATTTCTAAGTACCGAATAGTACTTCTTTGCAATGAATGTGATTTTTAAAACTCTATTCTGGGACAAAAATTGTTGTTTAACAGTCAGTTCAGATAGTCTGCAAGATTTTTGCTGGTTGAAGAAGTGATATATTGTGATGAAAGTTATGAAGCTGTGAATGGAATTACAATTAGCAATGATAATTATTTTTCCTTTCAGGAGAAGGTACCTTGCCACATTTAGTAAGTTTTCTTTCTTGGGCGATGTACTTCACTTTTCAGCAGAGTTCCTGAACTAAACCAATTGGGTGTCAAATATACTTGACCATTAAGCCAGCGTCTTGCCATAACTCCAGGGGAAGTTCAGCAGAATGAATTGCATTTATTAATTTAACATGGCAGAATCCTGTGACATCCTATACTACGGTTTGAAAATCTTTCATGATCTTCCCAATTGTTAACACTTATATAATTTTATTTACTACTTCACTCAATATTTTTGTTACACAAGGCCTTTTCCTAATCAGCTCCTTTACCCAACTATAGAAAGAATATCAACTTCCTGTCTTGAAATTAACTGGTACTTACAGTGAGTGTGTTCCACAATCTTGAACACAGTCATAAACTGCTCAAGTTAAACAGAAGTGTTCCATTGAGGTAACTTATAAACTAATTCTGATTAGCAGTGATATACACTGTCGTAGATTCATAGATTCATGCAGCACAGCCCATCAGCTTACCAAGTCTGCGCAGACGTATCTTCACTAATCCTACTTTTCAGCACTTGGCCCAACACCTTGAATGTTATGACATTTCAAATGCTCATCCATGTACTTCTTAAAGGTGTGAGGATTCCTGCTTCTACCACCTTCCCAGGTATTGAAAATTCCCACCATCCTCTGGGTAGAAGAAAGTTTCCTCAAATCCCCTCCAAACCTCCTGCCTTCCACATTAAAATTATGTCCCTTTGTTTTTGACCCTTAAACTAAAGGGAAAAGCTGCTTCCTATCCAGCCTGTCCACGCCTGTCATAATCTTATATGTCTCAGTCAGGTCCCACCCCCTGCCTTCTCTGTTCTAAAGAAAACAATCTGACCCTATCCAGACTCTCTTCATAACTAAAATGCTCCAACCCTTCTGCACCTCTTCCAGCATCATCCAGCAGATCTGAAATTTTGTTTCATTTAAAATGTAATTGCATTCTTCCCATCCTCACACCAGTTCTGTGCATTCATCTTGATAGGATTCAGATCTGCTGCACCACCACTTTTGATCCTCTTTCATTGCAAGAAAGTTGGTACAGCATCCAACTTGGAAGACCTCCAATTTGCTCACTATTAGGAAGACAAAAGGTCATTGTCTTCCTGCAAAAACCTTGCTATTTATTCTCAAGCAGGATGCCAACACCAAACTCATCTACCCCATTTGTTAATATTCTGTAACATCTGTTCTTTCCATGACATCTTGGTCCACTCCGCTGTCACTCCTAACACTTCTTCACTTTTGTATGGCAATCATGGAAAGTGTAACACTTGTCCTCTATTTTCACTGTCCAAGGCCCTAACCACGCCTTCCAGGTGATTAACTTGTACTTATTTCAATCTAGTCTACTATATTTGCTGTTCATTATGTGGTCTTTTCTGTATGGTGAGACAAAATTTAGACAGGGTGGCAGCTTTATAGAGCACCTGCTCTCTGTCAATAAAAATAACCCTGACCTTTCAGTTGTTTGCCATTTCAATCCACCATCTTGCCCCCATACTAACATCACAGTGAAGCACATTGCAAGCTGGAGAAACAGCACCTCATTTTCCGCTGAAGCAATTTACAGCCTTAAGGACTGAACGTTGAGTTCAAAAACCTCAATGTATGAACACCATCGTCCATTTGGTTACAACCCTCAATGGCTGGCCTAAGTAATTTCACCAGGTTTGCATACGACACAAAGCTGGGTGCGAGGGTGTACTGTGAGGAGGATACAGAGAAGGTTCCAAGTGATTTGGATAATTGGAGTAAGTGGGCAAATGCATGTCAGATCAAGTATAATGTGGATAAATGTGAAGTTGTCCACGTTGGTAGAAAAACAGGAAGACAGATTATCTGAATGGTAATAGATTGGGAAAAGGGGAGGTGCAACAAGACCTGGGTGTCCTTGTACGCCAGTCACTGAAAGTAAGCATGCAGATGCAGCAGGTGGTGAAGAGGCAAACAATATGTTGGCTTTCATAATGAGATGATTCAAGTACAGGAGCAGGGATGTCTTGGTGCAATTGTGCATTGCCATGGTGACACCATAGTTGGAGTATTTGTGCAGATTTAGTCTCCTTATCAAAGGAAGGATCTTCTGGCTATGGACGTAGCACAACAAAGGTATACCAGACATCCTGAGGTGGCAGAACCGATATATGAAGAGAGTCAGGATCAGTTACAACTATATTCAGTTGAGTTTAAAAGAATAACAGGGTAATCTCATTGATTCCTATAAAATTCTGTTGTTAAATGCAAAAGAGTGCAGGAAAGTTTTGCCAGGGTTGGGGAGTTTGAGCCACAGTCAGAGGCTGAATAGGTTGGGGCTATTTTCCCTGGAGTGCCAGGGACTGAGGGGTGACCTTAAAGAGATTTATAAAATCATGAGGGGCATGGATAGGGTGAATGGCCAAAGTCTTTTTTCCAGGGTAGGGGAGGGCCAAAACTAGAGGGAAAAGGTTTAAGGCGAGAGAGGAAAGATAATAAAGGGGCCTAAGGGGTAACTTTTCCATGCAGAGGGTGGTGTGTGTATGGAATGAGCTGCCTGAGGAAGTGGTGAAGGCTGGTACATTTGTAAGGCATCAGGATGTGTATATGTGTATATCAAGGTACTACTCACAACTATTGGACAAAAACAGTGGAAAATAAGAGTAGGCAAATATGATCATGGCTCATCATCTAACACAGCACTCTGCTCCCACTCTCTCCCCATGTTTTTTGATCCCTTTGGCCCTAAGAGCCATATGTAACTCCTTCTTAAAAATGATTCAATATTTTGAAGGGATATGGGCCAAATGCTGGCAAATGAGACTAATTTAATTTAGGATATTTGGTCAGCGCAGACGAGTTGGACCGAAGGGTCTGTTTATGTACTGTAAAACTCTGACTCCATGAGGTAAGCAAAGAAGGGATGTTCCCAATGACTAGGGAGTCCAGAACCAGTGCTCATGGTGTAAAGATAAAGGGAAGGCCATTTAAGACTGAGATGAGAAATTTCTTCACCCAGAGTGGAGAGACTATGGAATTCTCTGCTACAGAAAACAGTTAAGGCCAAAATATTGAATCATTTTTAAGAAGGAGTTACATATGGCTCTTAGGGCCAAAGGGATCAAAAGACATGGGGAGAGAGTGGGAGCAGAGTGCTGTGTTAGATGATGAGCCATGATCATATTTGCCTACTCTTATTTTCCACTGTTTTTGTCCAATAGTTGTGAGTAGTACCTTGATTTCAATTAATTGACTGCTGAGAATATCGGTTCACATGAGATGCCCAGACCTACCCCTATTGTCTGTCTTTAAAGAAAAAATTCAAAGTGGACTGCTGGCCACTATGATTACTCTGCAGGTCTTTAACCTCCATTTGGACAGCAGTTCATTTCCCCAAGCAAAAGCTTTTCATGTGTTTCTCTATGGAACAGTGTCTCGGTTGCATTTCCAGTAACATATGGTAAATAAAAGTACAGCAATCTTTTTATTAACAGACTCCTATGGAACCAGGAGTGTGTCAGCTGATCAAATATTCTAATCAAGAGGTATGCATAACCGCAGTAAACCCTGACCAAGCGAAGCTTCAAGACATCAAAATCCCTCAAAAAATCTAATCAAAAACATCAACGCATCTCCTAAAATCAATGTAAAAACACATAGAATGTAATAGAAAGGTAATGCAGGGGGTATACACATCACTGTTATACTTTATTTAGAGCATAAATACTCGGACATTACGGTAGTTGATGGTACTTGAGGTATATAATTTTTACTAATTTATCAAGAGTGCTTGATAAGGTTGATAAGGTGTCAGTTAAAACAAAGTTTGTGGTTTCTATTTCTTTCTTGCCCACAACTTCTGCAATAAGTCATTTGCTTATAGGCATTGAAAATGTTAAAATCAATATCAGAAACTCAATATCAGAAACATCTTTAATCCTCCTATTTTGAAGGTATTGCATTTTGTCTTGAGCACTTACGACTGGACATCAGGTAACTGGGTAAAACTGTGCTCTTTGAAGTTACTTGGTGCCGAAATAGATGTTAGTACTAGCTCAGTGATCACATAAGGGAGTATTGACCATGACTGTTGCCAGAGTAATGTGTACCACAATCATAGAGTCATTGAGTCATAGAGATATACAGCACAGAAACAGACCCTTCAATCCAACTCAACCATGCCGACCAGATGTCCTATATAAATCTCGTCCCATTTGCCAGCACTTGACCCATATCCCTGTAAACTTTTCCTATTCATATACCCATCCAGATGCCTTTTAAATGTTGTAATTGTACCAGCTCATTCCATACATGCAACAAGCTCTGCATGAAAAAGTTGCCCTTAGGTCCCTTTTTAAATCTTCCACTCTTACCCTAAACCTATGCCCTCTAGTTTTGGACTCCCCCTATGGATAAGACCTTGCCTATTTACTCCATCCATGCCCCTCATGCTTTTATAAACCTCTATAAGGTCATCCCTCAGCCTTCAACGCTCTAGGGAAAATAGCCCCAGCGTCTCCCTATAGCTCAAGCCCTCCAACACTGGCAACATCCTTGTAAATCTTTTCTGAACCCTTTCAAGTTTCACGATATCTTTCCTATAGGAGGGAGACCAGGAATGCACCTAAAGTAGCCAAACCAATGTCCTGTACAGCTGCAACATGACCTCCCAACTCCTATACTCAATGCACCAACTAATAAAGGCAATAATACCAAACGCCTTCTTCACTATCCCATCTACTTGCACTCCAAGGTCTCTTTGTTCAGAAACAATCCCCAAGACCTGACCATTAAGTGTATAAGTCCTGCCCTGATTTGCCTTTCCAAAATGCAGCACTTCACATTTATCTAAATTAAATTCCATTTGCCACTCCTTGGCCCATTGGCCCATCTGATCAAGATTCCGTTGTACTCTGAGGTACCCTTCTTCACTGTCTCCTGCACCTCCAATTTTAGTATCATCTGCAAGCTTACTAACCATACCTCCTATGTTCACATCTGAACCATTTGTATAAATGGCAAAAAGCAGTGGACCCAGTACTGATCCTTGTGGCACCGCATGGGTCACAGGCCTCCAGTCTGAAAAGTAACCCTCCACTACCACCCTCTGTCTTCTACCTTTGAGCCAGTTCTGTATCCAAATGGCTAGTTCTCCCTGTATTCCATGTGATCTAACCTTGCTAACCAGTCTACCATGAGGAAACCCTGCCGAACGCCTTACTGAAGTTCCCTATAGATCCCATCCACCACTCTGCCCTTGTCAGTCCTCTTTGTTACTTCCTTATGTTTGAGTTAACTATGATGCTGATGCATGTTCCTTACACCTGCTAAAAAAATTTGATAAACATCTTAGTTGAAATTTTTCTTAATACTTCAGATATCAGTGTTGTCTCCACCTCTTATCACCATATAGTACATAGTTTTGACCTTGTTTAGTTTAAAACTGTTGAGAAAGCACAAGATTTAAATCATCTGGCATTAACTAAATATTCCTTTCATGATTAAAGCTTTTTCTTTGTAAGGTTTTGAATCGATGTCAGTGGACATTAAGTTTTATATGCCCACGGTGCTCTCTAGTTAAATATGATCAGTGTCTCATGTAAGCTTTAGTGCCTAATGAATGAGTAACTTAAGTAATTACTACCCAAGTATAACTGTTCGGTTGATTTGCTTTGCCATTTTTGAGGTGCAGGCATCTGAAAACATTATCCTGCAATCCTCTTCCATCAACAAACTTATATTTGCATGTTGCCATTTCGAATGGATGGATTTTAGGTGCTCTCTCCTGAAGCTATACATCTTCTAAGGGAAAACTGTATATGAGAAGTTATATTGTATAAAATCTCCTTATCATGAATCTTTAAATAGTTTCTAGTACAATGACTTGTTCCAATGCTTTAAAAATAACATTTTCACATATGCATTTTCATTTTGGTTAACAGAATCCTTCCATACTAGAACACAATGAGGATCCCAGAGAGCTAGCAAATGGTTCCATGACCCCTGAGCAAACTTTTGTCACTCCCAAAGGGAATTTTTCAGTGTTGACTTCCACTGCTGATATTAGTAATGAAACAACTCAGAAAAGCTTCAGTCGGTGCTACTCAGACCTGAGCTCCAGAATTTCTATGTCTCCCAGGCAATGTTATAGATCTTTCCACAGTTCATCATCTAGCTTTGCAAATAGCCAGCATTACAAATCATTTCAGGATGCACGCCAGAAGACATATAGTGGTGATATTTTGGAGAAACATGCCCATTGTTTTACAAGTGGGCAACAATTCACACCTCGCATTCTAAAGAAAGAAGCACAGTCTTCCTTGGCCCGTTACCGGTATTATACTCCTGTGAAGAAGAAAAAACTCTCAAAAAAGAAATGCATGACGCAGGAAACACAGACTGATTTCACGAGGTACTTTGAATTGCTAGAATGTATTTTTGTCTTGTGTTTCCAGAATTAATTCTCCATAGAATATCAGTGATTTTATCTGCCCAAATTTTCGTTATATTTGTAATATACCAATATACATGAAGTAACTCCTCTTGAGAGAAGTACTTTCAGCCAAAGTTCACCTTTAAATAGAACAAATAAAAATCGAAAAGCAATCTGCTCTGTATTGAGGTATGGGATCGGATTTTCGATAAGTGGCAATCATGTGCATTTTGCCACTCCACTCCTAAACAAGAGTCACACATTTCTGACTGGAAATTCTAGTCAGGTCTCATAGAGTCATACAGCATGAAACAGACCCTTTGGTCCAACTCGTCCATGCCGAACAGGTTTCCCAAACTGAACTAATCTCATTTGCCTGCATAAAAACTGAAAGAACTGCGGATGCTGTAAATCAGGAACAAAAACAGAAGTTGCTGGAAAAGCTGAGCAGGTCTGACAGCGTCTGTGAGGAAAAAATCAGAGCGAAGCTCCCTTTTTCACAGCAATCAATTACAGTAATCTATGATATAGAGGTTAGCATCACAGGCAGCCACTTTGACAAGTTTTTAGAATCATAGTATCCCTACAGTGTGGAAATAGGCCATTCGGCCCAACAAATCCACACTGACCCTCCGAACAGCATCCCACCCAGACCCATTCCCCCGCCCCTTCCCTGTAACCCTGCATTTCACTTAGTTAACACACCTAACCTACACATCATTTTCCTGGGTAGCTCCATCGGAGCCTGCTATGCTCAGGTTTCCACAAGGGCCCTATGCAAAACTCCCATCTACCCTGCAGAAATGACTGTAGCCTTTGGAAAATCCGGCCACGGTTGCTCATCAGAATGCATGAAGAGTGGTACCCTTCAGTATAAACTCAAATGCAATTTTACAGCATGAAGAATTGAGAGAAATATCATAAATTCATGTCAATTTTGTTTTTAACAATACTTTGATTGACTAACTCCAAAAATCTTTAAATTCAGTACTCAATCACTTTATATTCAGATTAGTGGAAAAACTTTTAGAGATGTTCTAACTGAATTTATGAATCATATTGTGCATGTCTAGTTACTCAGGTTTTAGTTCTGAACAATTTTTTGATTTTAAGTGAATTATGTATTGGCTTGATTGGAATTATATTTCAGCTTTAATTACTCCTTTTATAAATTATTTGCAACGCAGGTCAAATCACCTAATAGATCCGTGCCTTTGCTTGTGTTCCAGACGAGGATCATTCCACGCTTCTTCATCTAACCACATTATTATATCCTTATATTCTTTTTCTCCTTTGTATGCTTATTCCAACTTTCCCTAAAATATAAAAATTGAAAGAACTGCAGAAGCTGTAAATCAGGAACAAAAACAGAAGTTGCTAGAAAAGTTCAGCAGGTCTGGCAGCATCTGTGAAGTAAAAAAATCAGAGTTAACATTTCCGTTCTGGTGACCCTTTCTCAGAACCCACGCTGGCATCAGTAAAGACCCATCCCACTGGTGGTGCTTGAGTTTTGAAACCTGAAGCTCAAGCTTGTGCAGCCAGTGATTCTTGATCATGAGAAGTAACCAGGACTCCCCAAATGCCACAGGATGAGCATTCCACTTGGCCGAACTGTCTTGCCATGCCTTGACCTTAAAGGTTTGAGTTACTCACTTTAACTTTAGTTAGCTTTACTTGATTGAACACACTTTAACCTTGTTCTTGTGCAATTAACTATATAAACTGGAGATTAAAGTAGTAATTTTTCACCCTCATTCACAAATCAGCACAATCTCTGTGCCTATACATTCTTACTTTACTGCACTAGTTTAGAAATTTACATTTTCAAAAATTACTGGAATCCCTACAGTGTGGAAACCGGCTCTTTGGCCCAACAAGTCCACACCAACTCTCAGAGCATTCCACCCAGACCCATTCCCCCATAACCCACCTAATCTACACATCCCTGAACACTACGGGCAGTTTAGAATGGTCAATCCACCTACCTTGCACATCTTTGGACTGTGGGAGGAAACCCATGCAGACACGGGGAGAATGTGCAAACTCCACACAGACAGTTGCCCAAAGGTGGAATCGTACCTTGGACCCTGGCTCTGTGAGGCAGCAGTGCTAACCACTGAGCCACCATGCCGCCCAGAGTTGAAACACAGTCCCCAGCAGCAATTGGTCAACAACCAACCAACTCATGCATTCCCTATTTTGGAACTTTTTTTTACCAAACTCAGCTGTGCAGCCCAGAATGCATGTTCTCTTTTAGGTCTGAATCTTCTCGTCCTTGGAAGGTAATAGCATGTCACCCATCTCACCAAACTAACCCTCTTCAGTTGCTGCCTAAAAACTCTTGTTGAACTTTACTGAAATTACCAATCAGCAACAATCTTGAATTCTTTGAGAATTTAAGATATAGGATTATGCCCACAGGTAATCTGAAACAAGTCTGTAGACATAGCTTCAGTTTGGAACATGTTGGTTAGTGACAATGATTTTAAGATCTTAATTCCAGAGATTAACTGGAGAGTTTTAATTCATTATGTCAAACTATTGTGTACATTCTAGAAAATATATAACATTGTAGAAATTATGAATATTTTAAAGTGTAGATTAAGGACCATTTTGTCCCTTTTCTTGGAAACAGAATACTGAAAGGCCATTATGTTCTTCAAGCAGTTAAATTGAAACTGTAGTTCATAAAGATATATTCATGATTTATAGCTCTGAAGATGCACCTTTACTGAAGAACAAGAAGGATTGTTCACACTTTACTTCCTCACAGGTTAGATGATAATTCACTTCTACTGGAGGCAATCTTAAATACTATGCTAAATGATTAATCTTTGCATTGCTGTAATGAAATACAATTAAATTGAATATTCCTTACACAAAATATAATTCAGATTCTGTGATAAAATTACTGTTCTTCATACAACCATATCCTTTTGAAAATTTTAGCTTTAGAAATTGTGATGTAAACTACTGTTTATAGGTTCTGTAAGTTTCCACGAATATCCCCTGGTTGTAGAACATAACACGTGGTTGCTGAAGCTGAAGCACTCAGGATCGCATTCAGACATAAATTCAGGATGGATAATCCTTCATGGTCACCTCTGTGGTCCCTTTATCATCACAGATGGCAATTTTGATGAATGTCATGTATTACCAAAAAACAGCTAAGTAGACAGGTTATAATAAAAAGTGTGAGTTCCAACATCATCTTGGATCATCCTGGCTTTATTGCTGAAGAATCCAGAATTATTCATGTCTTTAGTCAAGCTGTTCCTACACAGCTGCAACATGACGTTTACCCAATCTCTTCTATTCAGTGGTTTAATATTGCTGAATTTCCCATCAAATCTTGCAGTTACTAGAGTATGCTAGCCACTGAGAGTTCTGCAACAAATCGTTCATCTCCTAATGTCCATCAACCTTATCACCACCTACAAGAGAAAGTCAGGAGCATGGTGAAATATTATCCACTTTCCTGGATGGGTGCAGGCATAACAATGCTCAAAAAACTGGGCATTATCCAGGGCAAAGTAGTTACATTGATTTGGAACTCATCCATCAGTTTAGCCAAAGACTTCTTCCACCATCGGCACCATTGTCGTTGTGACAACTATGTACAGAATACACTACAGCAACTCACTTTGGTTTCTTCAACTCTTTCTAAGCCCGCAATCTCCATAACCTTGAAGGATAAGGGCAAAAGCACCATCAGTCTGAAGGTGCCCTCAAATACCATCTTGACTTGGAAATATATTGCCATTACTTAATTCTCATTGGGTTTCTGTACCTAGTAGATGAATTATCTTCATCTCATGAACTGTGATAGCTGGAGAAGGAGGCTCAACATTTTTTCAAGCGTAACTAAGGATGAATTTTCAAAAATGTTGGCCTTCCAAGTATTGCCAATATCTGCAGAGTGAATTTTAATTTTTTTATTATAATAATTGTAATTATTATATTATATAATTATTATGTTATAATTAATTGTAATTGTAATAATTAGTATGTAATATTGATGTATGTTAGTTGTAAATTCATGGAGTACTGACCAATAAGAATAGTAAGGTGACATTTAAAATATCATGTATTGAGTAGAGCGATAAGATGTATCACTTTTTTTTTCTGATGGGCTGTTTATAATGAATAGATTTGCTCTGATGATGAGCGAGAGGACAGGGATGTTTTATCTCTCAATTTCCATTGCAATGAGCCACAAGAAAGTTTTGAACGCCCTTATGATTACTGTGTACAAAGGTATGTATACAAATAAAAATCTAAGTATCTGTAGCATACTAAGTTCTTGTACGTATCTTGTACTTTTCTGATTCTTCCCTGTTTTGTTATGGCTAGGCTATTATACTTAGCCTTTTTTTGTTCTCTTTCTTTTTCTCTTTATTTATCTATTTCTCTTTTAATTTTCTGTGTAACTTCCTAGTCTTCAAAATAAGTGTTATTATTAGTGTCACTCACCAGATATTTGCAGAAAGTAGATCTTTTGCCTAGAGTTCACATAACAGCATTTTGGGTCATTGGTTATGTATTAGTTTCAAAGAGAATGGTGTATAAAAATAATGAGAGCTTAATAAAACTATATTCAGGTCATACCTGGAATGCTGTAAACAGTTTTGGTCCTCTTGTCTAAGGAAAGATATACTGGCATTGAAGGCAGTCCAGAGAAGGTTGACTAGATTGATTCCAGGCAAGGAGGGGAGGTTGAGTAGGTTGGAGTTGTACTCACTGGAGTTTAGAAGCATGAGAGGAGACCATATTGAAGTATATGAGTTTCTTGGGGAGCTTGACAGCCTAAATACAGAGAGGTTGTTTCCCCTTGAGGGAGTGTCTAGATCCAGACAACATAATCTCAAAGTAAAGGACTGCCCATTTCAGACAGAGATGAGGAGAATATTTTTCTCTCAGAGCAGGGAGTCATTACCGCATAGGGCTGTTAAGATTGGATTTATTCAAGGCTGCAATGGATTGATTTTTAATCAATATGCAACTCCAGTACAATAGGGAATCGGCAGTCAAATAGAGTTGTGGTTTATTGGATCAGCCGTAATCTCATTGAATTCAATGGACTAAATAGCCTACATCAGATCCTATATTTATGGACTTATGGTTTTTTGATCAAATCCTGAATTATATGGCAAATAAATCTCTAGCAATAATTATGAAAACAAATTTCAGTTTTCTGATGCAATTGGTAGTATTTCCAAGTAGTGGTCACTATACTGTTTTAATTTATATGTATGCAAAGGCAAATGTTGCAGGAATTTTTTAGTATTGTGTATGAAACACCAGTGTTTGAATTTGACCTATTTTCATTGATAATTGAATGCACAAGAACAAAATAGAAAATAAATATGTCATTTCTATTCAGCATAGTCAGAAGGATTGTTTCTAGGAATCCAGTAAAGTACAATGGTGGATAGTACTACGCAGGTGAAAGTAGACGTCCAGAATATTAAGTACTTTAAGCCTTGTAAGAGTGGGTTTTTGAAATAAACATGAGTTAAATGAGAACTGATGGTGATAGAATGAAGAAATTTCACAAGCAGCTACAACTCAAAACATTTCAAGAAAAGTGTAATTTTGCTTGTTGCCTGGTTGACTTTGATATCCATTGTCTACATTGTAACCACAAAAATGATCTTCTATTCAAACCAATTATTTTCAGGTTATCTTCATCAAATAGAATCAAGTCATCAATAATGCAGAAAGTTAAGGCTGAGTAAGTACTGTGCTTTATTTCATTATGGCTGTTATTAATGGCAAAGTTATTCAAATTGGGAACTCTCAGACTTCTTGAAGTCGTCTAAGTTTCTGTCTGTTATAGTCAGAGTTCTGTTTTTCTTTTATATTTGTCATCCTTACTATGTATGCTGCATTAATTATATTGTTTTCCTTTGGGTGGTTCATTTTGCCAATATAAAGCTGTGCCAATTTTCTTGCAAAGCTAACAATTTATAGGTAATATTCTGAGAAAAATGTACCAAAAATCATAACCTCTGATCTTAGTATCTAGCCCTTTAATTTGAAACCACACAAATTCTTGTAAGTTTGTCTGATAAGCAATTAACTCATTCCTCCAGTCTTCCAAGACTCAAACACTAGAGCAGATTGTGCTTACAGGTTACTTACTGCTATGTGCATTTCCCTGCAGAGAAGAGGAATTGAAGTATCTTGAGTTCGTCTCTGATATTACCAGTGAAATATTGGCTCGAGGATTATTTTCAAACAGGTAAATCTGTCATCAGGTAGCTAGCCTGTAGGTCCACGCTTTACAATAAGAACTGTAGGTTCAAATAATTTTAAAGGTGAATTTGGGTAGTTTCAAATTGATAGTGTAACTAAGTTGAAAATTATTTTGAAGAAATTTGCATTTATATAAATGCACCATTTAATCTCCATATAAAAGAAATAAGATGCATCATATGAAATGAATTAATTTGAAGCTGCTGTTTCTTATTTCATTCATGGAATTTGGGCTTCATTGGCTGGGCCAGCCTTTATCACCCATCCCTAGTTGCCCTTGAGGTGAGCTACCTTCTTGAAAACTGCAGTTTACTCAATGCAGGTGCACTCCAGTAGCTGTTAGGGAAGGAGTTCCAGGTTTTTAACCCAGCAAAGCTGAAGGAACAGTGACGTATTTCAATCAGAATGATGAATGAATTGAAGAGGAATTTGTGAGTGGAGTTCCCATTTATCTGCTGTGCTAGCACTCCTAGATGGTACTAAGCAAGGATTTGGAAGGTGTTAACTAGGGAGCCTAAGTGAGTTGTGTGGTGCATCTTGTAGATGGTACACACTGCTGCTTCTTTGTGTCGTGATTTAGGGAATGAATGCTTGTGGATGTGGTATTTATGAAACTGGCTGCTTTGTCATAGATGGTGTCAAGCTTCTTGAGTGCTGCTGGAGCTGCACTCATCCACATAACTGCACACATTTCTATCACACTCCTGACACATGCCTTGTAGATGGTGTACAGACTTTGGGGAGTCAGGAGATGAGTTATTCACCATAGTATCCCTAGCTTGTACCTGCTCTTGTAGCCATTGTGTTTAAGTGGCAAGTTCAGTTGAGTTTCTGGTCAATGGTAACCCCCAGGATGTTGATGGTCAAGAAGCTTGATACCATTTAAGACAAAGCAGCCCACTGGATTGGCACCACATCCATTAGGATCCACTCTCCACCACCTCAGTACACACTGCTGCTACTATCTACAAGACTTTAGAAATTCACCAAAGATCCTTCGACAGCTTTGTCCAAACCCACAACTACTTCAATCTAGAAGGACAAGGGCACATGTACATGAGAACACCACCTGCAATTTCCCCTCCAAACCACTCACTATCCCGACTTGGAAATATATTTTCATTGTTTTTTTATCACTGGGTCAAAATCCTGGAATTCCCTCCCTAAGGGCATTGTGGGTCATCCTAAAATAGGTGGACTGCAACGGTTCAAGAAGGCAAATCACCACCGCCTTCTCAAGGGCAGCTGGAGATGGGCAATAAACGCTGGCCAGCCAATGACACCCATGTCCCACAAGTGAATAAATTTCAAGAAAAGTTGTCAGGGCCAACATTTGTTGCCTATGCCTAATTGCTCTTGAATTTGGTAGCCTGTTATACAGTCTACAGTCAACAGTCAGTCACATTGGTGTGGATATAGAGTCACATGTAGGCCAAACCATTTAAGAAGGGATGATTTTTCTCCCCAAAGGGCATTAGTGACCTAGATTGATTTTTAAAACAATTGATACTTTAATGGTCACTGTTACTGATACTAGCTTACAGTTCCAGGTTTTATGTGAATATTAGTCCAATGATATACCCACTGCACCACCATCTCCTTTTCCCTGGGTAAATGAAGGTCAGAGCTATTCTTCATGTATCAATATACCTCAAATTGAATGAAAAGAGAGGTGAGTGCAATGGCATCTTTAACATTCAGTTGACAGAACCAAAATAAAGCACACCAACTACGGAGCACTTCTTCACTATGGATTGAACTGACAGCTAGATTGTATAATGTACAGTTTTGGTGTTGTATTAGAAAAGACATCAATACCTATAAGAGTGGACTAACGCCAATTAAGTAGCTCTGTCATATCTACCGTGAGGAAACACTTAACAGTTCTCAGGACTTATACTTTTGATAAAATGCAACTGAGAACATCTGACTGAAGTATTGAAGTTATTCCAGGGAATCAATAAATTAAAGATGTACAATATTAACATAAGATCCAGAACATTAGTAAAGTAGATGCATAACCAGTTCATGCAGAGGTTGATAAACATATAAAATATCCCAAATGGAAAATAGTGGAAGGAAATATTCCACTTTTTTTTTAATCTGACAAGGTTATCTGCAATAAGAGGAGATAACAAATATGTGACCTTTGGTAGTGAACTGAGTTACTCTGTTTCAGTTCTGTATAGTGTTTATTCTTAAATACATTGGAAGATACAGGAATACAATCAGGTAATTTATGTTTATCATTTCATAAATTGGAAGGCACATTACAGAGATGGGAAAAGAGGTTGAATTGTTGTGATGGTGGAGGACAAGGCTGTTTAAGTGACAGCAACCCCAGATTATTTCTGTGGTTCCCAGAAAAGCAGAGTGCTCCTTTGGGATTCACAACACTTGCCTTGTTAATGGAACAGAATGAAGCCTAAAACATCAATTGTGCTCCAATTTTTATTATAAGCAGTGTTTAACTAATATATGCGTGTGCATAGCCATACAAAAGCCTGGAAGATACTGCGCATGAGAAGTATTATATGTGTGTAGCTACACAAAAAAATTTAAAGTACGAAGTATTGGAAATACGGCAATACACAGCAGTAAGGTTTTACAGGGAACATAATCATGAGACCACAATTCCATTTCTAAAGAGATAAGCTGAATAAGATAGGCACGTTGGATACCTGGTGATGGAACCCTTTGAACTTAAAGCTAGCTGCATTGCCAAAGCCAATGTGGCACCAACATTAGTAGACACAAAAACTCATGCATTCCAGCATTTCTGGCAACTATCAAGTGAAAAGTACTGCACTGTTGATCAATGAATGATCAGACTAATAAGACATAGCTTTGTTTCAATAGCATTCCTGGAAGCTTCCTTGTAAAATGTCCAATGTGTACATTGGAGAGGCAAAGGCCTTGTGATTTTATCGCTAGACTATTAATCTGGAGACCCAGATAATGTTCTGGTAATTGGGTTTGAATCCTGTCATGGCAGATGCTGGTATTTGAATTCAATGAAAATGTGAAATTAAGTGTCTAATGATGACCGTGAAGCAAGCCTAAGTCGACTGTCAGGAAAAATCTATCTGGTTGGGAAGAAAACTATTATCCTTACCTGGTCTGTCTGTGACTCCAGACCCACAGCGATGTGGTTGATTTTCAGCTGCCCTCTGGGCAATTAGGGATGGCCTAGCCAGCGACACCCACTTCCTGTAATTGAATAAAGAAAAAATTCAGCATTGATATTAAAACAGTTAGGAAAGTAATGAATGTTTTCCACCTACTTCAGCTAGTTTAATATTTTTAAACAAAAATCCAATGCTGAAATCGCTCATTATAATCTTTTAACCTAAAATGCTGTAAATAAAGTTCAAACTGACTTTTGGTGGTGATAAAGCACAGATCTGAGTTAACAAAGATATTTTCATCATTCATTCAGTGTTTTGGAAAGAATATTTGAACGGCGCATAGAAGAAAATAGACATCGACTAAATGAAGTGAGTATATACCTCAGGTGTCAATATTTTTAAAACACACAATAATGTTTTATCAAAGGGCAAAACATTTTTTGTCTCCATATGAAGGTTTATTTCTTCCTTCTTCCTCTATAGCTGTTAATATTAAGTCAATCCTAGGATACGAGGCCATTATTTACTCTCTGTATTCAACAGAATAAACATCACTCACATGTGATCGGTGACAATTTGACAGCAGGCTATTCAACTCATGTTTTCATTGATACTCAGTCGCAAGTTGACAAAGGGTGGGTAATGTTGCCACAATCTTACCAAAACATAGGGCTGCTCTGTCATTAGAGAGAGACAACAGTGATATTTGAACCCGAATGTCACCACACCTCAGGCAAGGGGAGAGGTTGAGAAGGAGAATCCTTCGTGGTAACCTCAGCCAGTGCAGGAATTGAACCCACATTGTTGGTGTAACTCTACTTTGCAAACCAGCTGTCCAGCCAAGTGACTTAAACCAACGCACAAGTACCTGCAGTTATCAAGCCTTTTTTACATTTTGGTTTGATTTCTTTTATATTTTTCTTTGCTGACCTTCCAAGCTTATTGCCCAAACTCAAATTCTGCTGTTTGTATCCTAGCTTTTGCCAAATCATACACTTGCATCATCTCTTTGCTAATCTCCGTTATCTTTCTTTACTAGGCATATTGCCTTTAAAATCTTTGTACACTAAGTCTGTCTGCATCCTCACTTCTCCCTTCTCTGGAAGAATCTTTATAAGCTCTACACTTTTTTTTAACCTTTTCCAACCTTTAAAAAACAATTTCCACCAATTTGAGATAGTAAGAACTGCGGATGCTGGAGTCAGAGATAACACAGTGTCAGAAGAAGGGTCCTGACCCGAAACGTCAGATATCCTGCTCCTCTGATGCTGCCTAGCCTGCTGCGTTCCTCCAGCTCTGCACTGTGTTATCTTCCACCAATTTGAGCAGATTTCCCGTGAGCCCATGTGAGTGGAATACTGTGCAATCAGCCATTATGGCATTATTCTGATCAACTGTTCAACTGCATAACAATCATCTTAGCTGTGGACCTTTATTCAGCAAGCTTCTACATAGCCAGATATTTATGGCATAATAATGTGTTTTGGACTGACAGAAAAGGTAGTTTGAGACTATGGAAAATGTTGAAAAAATTTTGGTAACTATATTCACAGTGTTAGATGACTACCCAAATGTTGAGTCATTGAAGTCCAATTGATATAGATGTTTCTACAGGTCTATCCACAGATGCATACCTTAATTCTTCAAGCTCACTTAAAATTTCAATGCACAATAACTAATTGCTTAATGTTTCAAATCTTAATTTAGATACTTTACACAAACTTTTTTTTTAAAGAGCAATTACATTACAGAACATAAATGCTTTATAATTTATAACATCACATTCCAACGATTACTTATTTTGCTCAGTGCCTTATTCTTCGTCCTTAACAGAAACATACTCTGGGGCTTGCAAAAGCATATTTATGCAAAAGCTATGACTTAAATGTAATCTCTCATTTACAGGAAAAGTTAATTAGAGAAGAATAGGTTTTTGACTCTCATCGTAAGTTATGGAAACTATGAATGTCTGGGATGATGTTAGGATTTTTAAAAGTATTCTTTTTTAGAATGTGCATATCACTAAAAGGATATTAGTAAACCAGCTGGGGTTTTATGACCACCGTTGCTAGCTTTTAGTTTCAGATTTAGTGAATGGATTGAATTCAAATTTCATCAGCTGTGATAGGATTTGAACATGTGTGCCAAAAGCACTACCCTGGGTTGTCTCCACACAGTTTAGACTAGGCCAGATAAAGGAAGAATAGGAAAGATCAGAGTCTAAATTCATAGAATTCCCACACTGTGGGGAAAAAAGCCATTCTGTCTAATTGAATCCACAATGACCCTCCAAAGAGCATCTCACTGTCCCCCCATCCCTGTAACCCTGCATTTTCAATGGCTAATCCACCTAGCCTGCACATCCTTGAACAGGTAGGACAATTTAGCATGGACAGTTCCCTTAACCTGCACATCTTTGGACTGTGGGAGGAAACGGAGCATTTGGAGGAAATGCTACATACTTTTTTGAATACATCCTAAAGTTTGTCTATAGTTTTGCCTAAAGTTAACAGTTAAGATAGATTATTATGGTCAATTTATTCCTCATTCCTTTGAAATTTGCCTTCCTTAAATTTTCAAGCCCTACTGTGTGATTCAGCTTGCACCCTTTCAAATATAATATGAGCTGTGGTATATTTACTATTTCTAAGGTGTTTCATTACCATCAGATTATGAATTAATTCTGTTTTATTACACATCACTAAATCTAGTATGGACTATGTGCTGAAGTGGAAAATTTAGAGTCTGACAAGGGACAGCAGCCCATTGGAGATTGTGAACCACATACACAATATGACAGAACCAGGTGTAAACTGGCCAAACAGTAGGAGTTGCTCAGAATGGTCTGAAATAAAATGTAGTAGAGTAGAAATTTAAGCCAACCCATTTTTAGCCCAGGGTCAGCATGCATCCAAGCAAAAGGGGCCAAAGATTGATAGAAATTGGTCCTGGTGTCATCTGAATAATTATGGCAAGATGACATCACTAGATATGCTCCAAAAGTAACAAGTGATTAAGCAACAGCAATAATTCTAGGCCACATACTAGTCAGCAATAGCCTTCAGTAGACATTGCCAGATGACACAAGGTGACCACAATGCCCATCTTCTAATATTTAGGCAGCACCTCAGGATCACTAATAACTTGCTTCGGTTCCTGTTCGATGAGTTCTGAGATGTTCGATAAGTCCAATGTGCATCTGTACACTCTGCCATGTGCTGGACAGATGGTGGTTGGATGGTCAGGTAGTTATGCTTTTGAGTGGTCTTTGTACTTTCTCCAATGTCTCAACTTCAACTCTGCACATTCCTGAAATTCTCTCAATGTGATTAGTGCCTTTCCAAAGAAACCTTAACAAAAACAGAACATGCTGGAGAAGCTCAGCAGGTTTGGCCTGTGATCAGCAGTGTTCTGCAGGGATCTAATCTCGGTCCTCTTTTGTTTGTTATTTATATAAATGATTTGGATGAGAATATAGAAGTGTTGGTTAGTAAGTTTGTGGATGACACCAAAATTGGTGGCATTGTAGACAGTGAAGAAGGTTTTCTAAGATTACAAAGGGATCTTGATCAAATGGGTCAATGGGCTGAAAAATCGCAGATGGAGTTCAATGTGGATAAATGTGAGGTAATGCATTTTAGTACAACAAACAAAGGTGGGGTTTATACAATTAATTGTAGGACCTCGGGTAATGTTGTAGAACAGAGGGATCTAGGAGTGCAGACACATAATTCTTTAAAGTTTGCATCTCATTTAGACGAGGTGGTTAAAAAGGGTGTTTGGCATGGGTACCATCATTGCTCAGTGCTTTGAGTATAGGAGTTGGGATGTTATGTTGAGGTTGTACGGGATATTGGCGAGGTCACATCTGGAATAGGAAGGATATTATCAAGTTGGAGAGGGTTCAGAAGAGATTTACCACAACGTTGCCGAGTATTGAAGATTTAAGTTATAAAGAAAGGCTGGATAGGCTGGGACTTTTTTCACGGGAGCATCAGAGGTTGAAATGTGACCTGAAAGAAGTTTTTAAAATAATGAAAGGTGTAGATAGAGTTGATTATAGTTGTCTTTTCCCTAACTTGAGGAATTTCAAGACTCGGCGACACATTTTTAAGGTGAGAGGAGAGAAATTTAAAAAAGACGTAAGACGCAAATTCTTTACACAGAGGGTGGCTCACGTGTGGAATGAACTTCCTGATGAAGTGGTGGTACAGTTGCAATGTTTAAGAGACATTTGGATGGATACATGAATAGGAACGGTTTGGAGGAATATGGCCCAGGATTGGGCAGGTGGGACTAGACTAGTTTGGGATTATGTTCAGCATGGACGGAGTGGACCAAAGGGTCTGTTTCCATGCTGTATGACTCTATGAATCTATCTGTGGAGAGAAAACAGAGTTAACATTTTGAGTGAAACTGCCTTCATTTTAGTTAATCACAAGCTAGGGACTCCCATGAGTTGTCAGGGAGGTTTGACCACTTCAGGGGTGCTTTGAGGATATCCTTAAGTGCCAATCGCATATAATCTTTAGTTATCTTTATTGACTTGAACGAGATTCTGGAATTTGCATATTAATCAATCAAAACCTGCATCTTCTTTCTAACTGATTAAAGATTTAACAGCCACCTTAGGTTTGTTCAATACATTTGCATCAGTTCTATGACCCTTCAATCTTGCGCGTAAAAATTCTGTGTCTGATGCCACCTCTCTCACGTACACCTGAAGAAGGAGCAAGGCTCCGAAAGCTTGTGTTTTCAAATAAACCTGCTGGACTATAACCTAGTGTCGTGTAATTTTTGACCTTGTCCACCCCAGTCCAACACCAGCACCTCCACATCATGGCTACCATTTACAGCAGAACATAAGGGAAGATCAGATCTTTTCTTCACAATGCACAATTTACTTTAGTCATACCTATATTTTGCTTTGTTCTTTTCATGTACTGAACATTTGCATCAAATGAATGGTTCTGAAATGACATAACTCCAATTTCCAGTTCAAAATATTAAGGAAATTCAGATTTTAAGGCTAAGCTCGAACGTTCTCAATGTTCCAAGCTGATTCTATGAAACCTGAAATGGAATGCAATTGCTCATTTGTTAATGTAACCCAACCCTAATGCAAAATTTCATGAACTTAAGCCATTACTGAATGACTAAATTTACATCACATATTTTATACATGCCAGGACTCAAAGATCATTTATCCAATGTTTTGTGGCATTTTCTTTTATTTTTCCACATTGAAACCAACTTAGATTTTGGATATATGAATGTAAATTTATGACATTGGAATTATTTTCATTAAAAAAAACTTTCACTGTTGAATTTTCTTAAAGATGTATATTTGCAGTACTTCATAATGCCTCTTAATAACTATCATGAAGGCTTGCAAACAAATTGAAATTACAATTTTATTTTCTGAGCAGTAGTATCTTGTAATAGATCTTGTATCTTGTAATAATCTAGAAATTATATTTGCTGGAATTAGTCAAAGAACATTTAACATACTTATTTTTATTCCTGTATCTGCTCAGTCAGTGGGCTGTCTTATGAAACCAGCAATGTCGGGGGAGGCAAGGCCAAAAAATTGGGAGGGGATGCACGTCTGCATGTCCCTCAACTTTCTGTTGCCCTAACATGCTGTTAGCAGCAGACAACATAAAGAATGGCATTCCTTCTTAATGACCAATTGTGTTTGTGGCCAATTAAGGACCTGTCCTATCATTGCTGGCTTTTTTGCTGCAGCCGGTAAGCGCTCTACCATATTTGTAAGCTGCCTGTTAAAATCTGGTAGTCTGCCTACAAGTTTAGGACTGGGACTGTTGCCTCCTAATTTGGCATTTTCTGGCTCAGAGAGAGATCTCCATTGGCAATTGTTGCTCCCATGGTAATATGACTCTCTGTCATCACCACACATTGCACATCCTTGCTGAGACCTCATTATCTGAGCACAGGGTCCTCTGACCCCATTTACCTCACAGCTCCTAATGATACAACTGAGACTGAGGAGCTGCGAGCCTTCTGATTGACTGGCAGCTCTTGGGGGTCAGGAACTTGGCAGCAACTCAGCTGAAAAATTGATATAAAATCTTACTGTCACTCTCCAAACAGCTGAGGTAGGATTAATACCAGCGTCAAGAACAGAAATTACTGGGGATTTTTTTTTTGATTCCAGAGTTGTCCACCCAATAAAATCCCACCCCATAGAGCTGGTAACCTGCTTATTTTGCTAAATTATACATATCTAAAACCTTTTCAATACTAAAATTGACAATGTACTTCTTTGTCTTAATTTGCAGCAGAAGTTACGTCATATGCTGGATGAGTTAAAAGAAGATTTGGGCTTTAAACCAGAAAAAGAATGGAGGACCAGTGGTTGTGAAACTATATTAACAAATACTAAAATGTTAGAATTAAAAAACCCTGATTCTTTGGAAAATCGTAGGTTTGCCCATAATTGGAAGGAATATACTGGCAGTACTGCAAACCTTTCAATTGACAATGAAAACGAAGGATCATGGAATCATAGACTGCTTGGAAATTCTAGTGCAAGTGTTTGTTACGACCATAGCGTTGCTGGAACCACACATCCTGATGCTGTTGGTGGAGAGCATATCCAGGATGTTCTGCACACAGAACAAGATCATTGCCTGTTTTCAAATAGTGAAGAAAACCCTGATCGTTTTCAGTCTGTGGACCATCCATATGATCCCACTGAGTGTTGCACTGATTCTGATGGCACAACAGTACTGACAGACGTTGATAATCTTGTGGTGTCTCTTCATACTGTTGACGTTAAGGAAAACTGTGAACTTGAAGATGATCAGAGTAGATTTGCATTAAGTAAAGATCCAGAAAAAGCTTCTGATGATGGCATTAATTTGTAGTGCTTGCAATTCTCAGCAATTAGACAGCTAACAATCATGGATCATAACAGAATTCTAGATCTTTGTGATGTAAGCCTGTTCTTGTCACTGAGTTGGCGATTGACCACAACAAAGTTTGCACCAGAAACGTTTTTGGGTATTTTCCCTGAACAATCTATGCTTCTCTGCACTGTGCATATTATGTGCTGCATTTTTGAGCTCTAGTGTATATTTTACTACAGTTATGAAGGCAGTACACATTACTTTAACCTTGTGTAAATGAGTCAAAAATCTAAGTTTATTATAAGTAACTGCTGCATTACAAAAGATACCTCTCTCATTTTCCTGATTCTTGCACAGATCTATTTTATTTTTGTCAGAGCTGTACAAATACTGTTTCTCTATAAGCAGCTGTCAAGAAGAGTGTGAAGGCCATTCATATTCGCCAACTCTGCCTTGCAGACTTGCTGAAATCAGGAACTGGCATGTAAAAGCCCAGATGCAAACCTAGAGTGTCCTATTCTGCAATGCAGTATATTGGTATACTAATTAGATTTAACTTCAATACTTTATAATGAGGTAAGCCAACAATTTTTTTTTTTCTTTTCTCTTTCACGGGATGAGGGCGTCGCTGGCTAGGTAACATTTATTGCCCATTCCTAATTGCTCAGAGGGCAGTTAAGAGTCAACCACATTGCTGCAGTTCTGGAGTCACGTGTAGTCCCAGACCAGGTAAGGATTGCAGTTTCCTTCCCTAAAGGACATTAGTGAATCAGATGGGTTTTTCCAACAATCGACATTGGATTCACGGTCATCATTTTATTCTTAATTCCAGATATTTATTGAATTCAAATTCCACCATCCGCCATGGCAGGATTTGAACCTGGGTCCCCAGAACGTTATCTGGGTCTCTGGATTAACAGTCCAGCGATAATACCACTATGCCATTGCCTCCCCAATAATGATATTTATATACAGCCATAATACAAAGTAAATTGTTACAAAATTATAGTGTGCACAATCCATCCAGTTATTTTATTCTTGTCCTTTCAGAACAAGGGGATACATTTCACTGAACGCTCAAATATGGGAGATAATCATACAGTAACTGGCATCCATTAATAATTTCTTTTGCTGAATTTTTTTTGATGAAGAATTGTTTTAAGCTATGTTAGGAACAAATACCATGTAGAGTTTCTTCTATGACAACATGAACACTACTTTCACCCCAATTGGAACAATGTGTCAAATTTTGGACATCACACATTAGAAAGGTTGGTAAGGCTTTGAAAGGGTAGAGAAGAAATTTACTGGAAAGGTTGTGGGAATTACAATTATGTTGACAAATTGCCTTAAATCTGAGAAAGGAGAGAGTCAGAGATAGTAGGAACTGCAGATTGCTGGAAAATCTGAGACAACAAGGTGTAGAGCTGGATGAACACAGCATGCCAAGCAGCAGCATAGGAGCAGGAAGGCTGACGTTTCGGGCCTAGACCCTTCATCAGAAATGGAGAGAGTCAGTTTGATATAGGTTACTAAATTTTGTCTGGTTTAGCTATGGTACATGAGGACAAACTGTTTCCAGTAGCTTAAGGATCAATTATGAAATGGAACAGATTTGAAGTATCAGCAAAAGAATCAGAGACGAAGTAAGCATTTTCTATGTGCTGAGTACAGAAGTTATAATTTAGAATGCACTGTTTGAAAGGGCAGTGGATGCTGAGTCTGTAGCAGAATTCAAAGTGCATAGGATAAATACATGAGAAAGAAACACTGCCAGGATATGGGTAACGAGTAAGGACTAATTAGAGTGTTCCTTGAAAGAACTGGCACGGACACAGTAGGCTGAATGGCCTCCTTCTGGAATATATCATTCCCTGATTTCATAAAAGTCATCCACAATGGGCAGTTTTTCCATTGATGATGACAGCTGATCGAAGCTTGCGATGGTGCAGAAGAGGAAATTCTACAGAGAACATTTACTTCAGGAGGTCTCAAAATCAAATTTGTGAATCAAAGGAAGAGTGGCAAGGGTGGCTAATCAGTGTTAATAAGTGTACAAGCATTTAGTTGTATTTAGTTTTGATTATGCAGCAATTCAAAAGAATGTAATTCCCTTCTAATATTGTCCAAATTTAATATATTCCAATTTGCATACATTACACGAGAGGAACATTTTCTAATTTTTTGTACCAATATGCAAATTTTACATAGCATTCTCACATCATTTGTTAGCCATTGTAACTTGAGCATATCAATGAAAAATATGTAAAATGAAAATAACTTTCATCTAAGATAGTAAACCAATAATATTTTTAATGCTGATTGAGACATCTCCAGACCTTAACACAAAATATTAAGTCTATAAATGTGACTAACTCTTTCAATATTTTAATATTAAAATATTTGGGAAGTCCCAATCTAGTCCTTATTAAGAATGAGTACCATTCGGAAAAGTGGTTTTTATTCAACAATTGAAAATATCAGTCAAGAGAGGCTAATGTCAGAACTTGAAAATTACCACAATGGTGTGTTAGATTTACTTTGCTGATTTTGTAATAAATCTACTTTACTCAGCATTTGATTCTTATACATCTGATCTGTTAAATTTTGATGAATGATCATGGCTTTTTTCCCTTTTCACACATTGAAAAATACATCCAAAGACATGACAATTTAATAAATATCCTTAAATATTTATGAGACAACAAGGTGCAGGGCTGGATGAACACAGCAAGCCAAGCAGCATCATAGGAGCAGAAAGGCTGACGTTTCGGGCCTAGACCCTTCATCAGAAAAGGGGGAGGGGAAGGTGGTTCTGAAATAAATAGGGAGAGAGTGGGAGGTGGATAGAAGATGGATAGAGGAGAGGATAGGTGGAGAGGAAACAAACAGGTTGAAGAGGCGGGGATGGGGCCAGTAAAGGTGAGTGTAGGTGGGGAGTTAGGGAGGGGATAGGTCAGTCCAGGGAGGACGGACAGGTCAAGGGGGCGGGATGAGGTTAGTTGGTAGGAGATGGGGGTGCGGCTTGAGGTGGGAGGAGGGGATAGGTGGGAGGAAGAACAGGTTAGGGAGGCGGGGACGAGCTGGACTGGTTTTGGGATGCGGTAGGGGGAGGGGAGATTTTGAAGCTTGTGAAATCCACATTGATACCATTGGGCTGCAGGGTTCTCAAGCGGAATATGAGTTGCTGTTCCTGCAACCTTCGGGTGGCATCGTTGTGGCACTGCAGGAGGCCCAGGATGGACATGTCGTCTGAGGAATGGGAGGGGGAGTTGAAATGGTTCGCGACTGGGAGGTGCAGTTGTTTATTGCGAACCGAGCGTAGGTGTTCTGCAAAGCGGTCCCCGAGCCTCCGCTTGGTTTCCCCGATGTAGAGGAGGCCACACCAGGTACAGCAGATGCAGTATACCACATTGGCAGATGTGCAGGTGAACATCTGCTTGATGTGGAAAGTCTTCTTGGGGCCTGGGATGGGGGTGAGGGAGGAGGTATGGGGGCAGGTGTAGCACTTCCTGCGGTTGCAGGGAAAAGTGCCGAGTGTGGTGCGGCTGGAGGGGAGTGTGGAGCGGACAAGGGAGTCACGGAGAGAGTGGTCCCTCCGGAAAGCAGATAAGAGTGGGGAGGGAAAGATGTCTTTGGTGGTGGGGTCGGATTGCAGATGGCGGAAGTGTCGGAGGATGATGCTTTGGATCCGGAGGTTGGTGGGGTGGTACGTGAGGACGAGGGGGATTCTTTTTTGGTTCTTATTGCGTGGACGGGGTGTGAGGGATGAGTTGTGGGAGATGTGGGAGACACGGTTGAGGGCGTTCTCGACCACTGAGGGGGGGAAGTTACAGTCCTTGAAAAACGAGGACAACTGAGATGTACGGGAGTGGAATGCCTCATCCTGGGAGCAGATGCGGCGGAGGCGAAGGAGTTGGGAATAGGGGATAGCATTTTTGCAGGAAGGTGGGTGGGAGGAGGAGTATTCTAGGTAGCTGTGGGAGTCGGTGGGCTTGAAATGAATATCGGTTTCTAGGTGGTTGCCCGAGATGGAGACAGAGAGCTCCAGGAAGGGAAGAAAGGTATTAGAGATGGTCCAATAAACTTAAGGTTGGGGTGGAAGGTGTTGGTGAAGTGGATGAACTGTTCAAGCTCCTCGTGGGAGCACGTGGCGGCGCCGATACAGTCATCAATGTAACGGAGGAAGACGTGGGGTTTAGGGCCGGTGCAGGTACGGAAGAGGGATTGTTCCACGTAACGTCAGCCTTTCTGCCTCTATGATGCTGCTTGGCCTGCTGTGTTCATCCATCCCTGCACCTTGTCGTCTCGGATTCTCCAGCATCTGCAGTTCCTACTATCTTAAATATTTATGCCTGGTTATTGATAATGTTAATCTTGTTTCCAGAATTTTGAAGTATGGATGATAGGTGAATTATTTTTATTATAATTTCTCTCTACAGTTACGATCTCAAAAGAAGTAAGTAGTCATTCCTCTTTTTAATTGCTATGAACTGTCCCTGAACACATTTACAACCAAAAAAGTTCCTTAAAAATAAATAATGATAAATATCCCTTGGCAAAAGTATGACAGGAAATATACATCTCAAATAAAATAAACCTGATCACCTGCATTTAAGTTTTGTGTGTCAACATATACAAATTTCATGTTACTGTTTATAGTTTTTTGTGAGTGAAAATTTGCTGTTACTATAGCTATCATGAAAATACATGTGTGTACCTGGAATCCTTAAAAGAATTGTTTTGTATATATGATTCCCAATAACACTGATTTATTTTGTAAGTAAAATTCACCAGATCTGCAAATCTTCAGTTTAGCCCCTTGAATACCAAATTGTGGTTTGTCTTTTTATTAATTTTGACATATCCTGATTCTTCTTAAGAGTAACCTGTAAAGATAATTACATTGATTTCCTGACCTATTGCTCATAAAGTCAGAGGTTTTAGTAGTGAGGAGAATGCACCCTCTCATGTGTTTCTACCTTGAAAGTGAGCCCCTTCAAAGTTGTAACGTGTTTGTATCAGAATATGTTAGATTTTTTAAATTCTCTTTTTGCTGGTCACTGACATTGCGTCTTGTAGGAACAGCTAGTGGAGAACATAAATTATGGTCTAGCATGCCAAAGGCATTTGTGATGAAAGTGCGTAATTTATATATGCTAATTACAGTTTTTGAATTTGGTTTCAAAATAGAGGCAGGTAAAAAAGTCAGAAAATCTTTTCAGTATGATGATCTAAACCTGCATTTGTTAGAAAGGTAATGACTACAGATCCCTACGAGGTTAATTGAATAATGTTGGGTTTGTGATAGCTAGGGAAAATATTTAAGGTCACTTGCTTTGTTTTTAGTTCAAAAGAATCTAGGATAGAGCCAGCCTTTCAATTCAGTTCAGAAAATACCAGAGTTGAGCTCAGGAACAAGTTTAGTTTCTCTGTGCGAGGAGTACTGGGCAGTTCGGGGAACCAATTACCCCAGACAAGGGTTAATTTGTAAAGTTTCGGAACTAGAAGAGTTTGGCTAGAAATCTACAGATTTTTAGAACTGAGACGGTTTAAGTTCTCAGATTTCTGAAAAGTTCA